TTCATGCTCAGCCCCCAAAATGACGCCAAAACCATCATCATCATCATCACCATCATCATCATCATGCACTATGCATAAAGATGCATAAAGATGCATAAAGATGCATAAAGTACAATTTTCATCAACTTGACTCAACCCTTTCCTCAACACAACCGGCCAAGTGCAAATTGCCCGATCTCTCTTAGCATCCTGTAAGCCCAGCACATAACCCGACTTGCCATAGAAATAGTGTCTGACGCCATCATCTTCTATGGTATTAGCCTCGACTGTTTGGGATGCTGCCTTTCTCTGACCCCAGTAACACGGCCTAGGGCTTATGGGGAGTTTGGATGAGGCAAACTGCAACACTGCTGCTTTCGGCTTTTACCACAGAAGTACGCAGTAGTTCATCTGCGCTGGTCAAACGTTGAACGAAATGCTCTGAGTTTGAGTTACAAAATGTTACAACATGTTACAACATGTTACAACTGCTTGCACTGAGCGTGCACTGAGCTTGCGGGTCTGCTTGCACTGAGCCCTACTGAGCCCAGCGCTTTGCTGGCCGTGTACCGAGTGGCAAAGCCTGAGCTTAGCTGAAAAAGCCAAGCATTCCTCTTGCTCAAAGTTCATTGACACTGACATCTCACATCTGAAGGGTGCTCAAGGCGTGTTTGGCTTATTTGATTTCCTGTTTAGGGAATTATTTGCAGCTCTTACCAGTAGTACGGCACAAGGCGGCGGAAGTTTCAAAGATAGGAAACTACAGGACAGGTGTGTTGTTGCGATGCATGGATGGCAGAGCGAATCTGCTCAATGGACCGAAAGGTAGTTGGAGTTGGAGTTGTGTTTTTTGGAATAGTTGCAGTGGTCATGTCACCCACAACTGCTAGATGTAGTGTGGTGTAGTGCAGTTTTAGTTGCAGTTGCAGTTGCAAGTGTAGTTGTAGTTGTAGCGCAGTGTAATTAGTGTAGTGTAGCGTAGTGTAGCGCACTGGAGTCTAGCTGTAGCTGTAGTTGCAGTTGTAGTGTAATGTAATTAGTGCAGTGTAGTGCGGTGTGGTGTGGTGTATCGTAGTGTAGTGTACTGTAGTGAGTGTAGTGTGGTAAAGTGTAGCGTAGCGTAGTTGTACTTGTAGTTGTAGTTGCAGTTGCAGTGTATGTAGTGTATGTAGTGTATGTAGTGTGTATAATGTGTTTAGCGTAATTAGTGTAATTAGTGTAATTACTGTAATTACTGTAACTAGTGTAGTTAGTATCGTTAGTGTGTTGTACTATACTGCACTGTAATGTAATGTAATGTAATGCAATTACTGTAGTGTAGCGTACTGTAGTGTAGTGTAGTGTATGTACTGTAGTTGGAGTTGTAGTTGAAGCTGCAGTTGCCATTGTAGTGTGAATTGTGCAGTGTAGTGGAATGTAGTGTAGTGTACAGTACTGTAGCGTACTGTAGTGTGTTGCAGTGGAGTTGTAGCTGTAGCTGTAGCCTGCAGCTGTAGTTGTAGTTGTACTGTCATGTAGTGGTACTTGTAGTTGTAGTTGTTGTTGTGTCGTGTCGTTGGCGTCCAAAAGTGGTCCGAACATGTGGTGTTTTTAACATGGTTACTTCGAAATGTGCTTCGCACCACAACGGCATACACTTTTTTAACATCTCAACTTCCAAAAGTGCTCTGAACGTGGTGTGCTTTGCACATGTTGACTTCGAAATGTGCTTCACGCCACAGCCGCGTGCAATTTTTCAAGGCCTCAACTTCCAAAAGTGCTCCGAAGCTGAGGTGTTTTCTGTAGTGTAATTAGTGTAGCGCAGTTGTAATTGTAGCTGCAGTTGTAGTCTAATGTAATTAGTGTAGTGTAGTGTGGTATAGCGTAGTGTAGTGTAGTGACTGCAATATAGTGTAGTGTACTGTAGTTGTAGCTGTAGTTCTAAAGTAGTGTAGTGGCAGTTGTAGTTGTAGCTGTACATGCAGTTGTAGTCGTAGCTGTAGTTGTTGCTGTTGTTGTTGTAGTTGTAGTTGTTCTTCTTGTTGTTATTCTTGTTCTTGTTTTTGTTCTTCTTTTTTATTCTTCTTTTGTTTGTTTATTCGTCTTCTTATTCTTCTTCTTTTTCTTCTTCTTCTTCTTCGTCTTCTTCTTCTTCTTGTATTTTCAGGTTTCAGCTGGGGTTATGTTATAATCCCAAGTAGACTGATAAACCTAAACAACAATGGGCAAAACCGTTAAGCACCTGCGACTCACTCCCTTTTGACTGAGCCGCAATAGCTACCAAGTACAAGCTATACTACAGTGTGTTTTATGTGAGGTGATTTTACACCCCCCCTCAGGTGAGCCGGTTACGGCGAGGATGCCGCATTTACCAGGGCGAGGTCTTTAAGACCTGCCTCACCGAACCTGCTCTTTGCAGACCCAAGGGAAAACACACTCGGCGGCTATGATACAAAAACCGATCGTCAATGCAAGTAGTGTCACAACTTATCCCTCTTCCCACTCAACACGTCCATGCCTGATGACTTTCTCATACCAGCGTCCATGCCACTTCTGCCATTCTCCAGTGTAGCGGCGATCATCGTGGGACTGACTTTGCTGAGGGCGGTTGATCCACTGACTTGCAGACGTTGATGATGAGGCTACCTCTACGGTGGATGGTCGGGCAACCGGTTTGGCGGTGCCTTTCTTGGAGGGACCTTGGCCATACGCTCCAGTCTGCTCAGCTTTGCGCTTGGCCTCATTCTGCTCGCGGGCCCTGTCAGACTGCTTCTTCTTCTCTGCAGCGTTCTGCTTGTACAGCTCCTCATTTTGTCCCTTGATCCACCTCAAATGGCGTTCAGCATCATGAACGGCAATGTTGTCAACACCCGTACAAGACAGCAAAAGATTGTGTCCAGGGTTCCTGTCGAGGTAGTCAATGTACTCTTCCTCGGAGTAGATTTCAGTGCGGTACATGTAGAACCATGGTTGGTCAATGTACCTGAATGATTTCGGGACATCATGATGGCTTGCCAAATCCAAGTAAACCAGCCTCATTGCATTGTGCTCCAGCTGAGATTGCTCAGAAACACCCATCTTGACCTGAGCTTTGGTGCGACCCGGCTTCGGCAAATGTGCAGACTTGAGGAGGTCGTACCTTTCACAATCGTACTCGTTCTCCCCCTCGTTCAGCACGCTCTCTGCGAATGTGGCGTCCTGGGCAAACCTGTCAGCCACAGACACATAGCCTAAGCTCAAGGCACGGTCGAAACGACTCTTCGCCCTCGCCAACAAACTGGCCTCCGGACTTGAGCTTCCCCTTGCCTGGTCATCCAACAAACCCAAAGATTCAAGCTGAGCATGTGTGATGCTTTGCAGGTACTCGCCACGAAAATCATAGTACAAGCCCAGCTTGTGAAGGGCGGCCTTCCTTCGTTCTGCAATCTTGGTTCGGTCGGCCTTGTTCACCCCTTCAAGCATCAATCCACACACATCGCATTCAATCTGTCCCTTGAAAGTCTGTGCAAAACATCTTGAACATTGCGTGACTTCAATCTTGACCGGCACCGGCTTCTTGTCCTCCTTCTTCACCTCTTTCTTCGAAGGTTGGTCATCGCCTTTAGGGCGAGACTTCTGCTTTGGCACCAGTGACTTTGATGTTGATGCTGGCGTCTTTTTGGGTGACTCTGCAACTGGAGCTTTTGGATCTTTTTGCACTGCCTTTGGTGGTGCAACTTTTGGGGCAGGCTCCAAGAAGGCCGCAGCCGATGATGCCGCAGGCACAGCTGCGGGCACGCTTGTCAGGGCTGCCTTCTTCTTTGCAGGTTCATCCTTTGCTGCTGCATCAACTTCTGAGGTCACAGCTTTTGGAACTTCTGGTGCATGAGGTGCAGAAGTCCCTTCCTTCGGTGATTGCTTTGGAGGCGTCTTTGGCGGTGTCTTTGGGCCTTCAACCTTTGCTGCAGGAGGCTTCGGAGCTTCGCCCTTCGGAGGAGGGGGCAACAATCTGCTGCTTGCATATCCAGGCATACCGGCAAGTTGGGCCACATTTGGTGGCGGAGGCTTCACCTTCCCTGGGAAAAATGCTGTTGCAGTGGGCGCGCCAGTTGAGGCGGCCGGAGATGTGGAACCAGTCCGTTTTGATGCCTTGGCCTCGAAGGTCTCGACAAGCTGCTGGACTCCAACTTCTCCCCCACTGCTCGCTGCAGACTGAGCAACCTCCTGTTGGCGGCGATACAAATTCACCTTCTTGGCAGTGTCATCGACAGAGATAATGTATTGAGGTGGTACGACGTCGCTTGTCAAGATGCCGTCGGAAGCCGTCCTGAAAAACACAATGCCAGCTTTGACAGCTTCCGCCATTGCTACCCTGATTTCAATGGGTCTTTCAGCACGCAAACCACTCACATACTCTTTCTCATCGACACGCACTTCGCTAAAATAGGAGTGTGCTCTGCCTGATGAATTTCGATCTCCTCCTCCAGGAACGAAGCCATTCTCAATGATGCCCTTCCAATTGCCTTTTGTAGTCCTGTGATAAACTACGCCAGGGCACATCTGAGGAGTGGTAATCTTTTTACCTTTGGCGTTCATTTTCTGGATCGCTGTGGCTCCAGACAGGGCATAGATTTCCACAGCATTGAACGTGTCCTCAGCCGAAGCGGCCTCCATAGCGCGCTTCGTGTGCCCCTGCACTGCTCGGATTCTGATGGGCCAGTAGGCTAACCCTTTACGGGTTGCCTTCTGGTACCCGGCAATGCACTGGAACTCAAAGCGGCACTTGTTGTCCCAGTAGAGCAGTGAAATGAGCTCTTCAACAGTCATTCGAGGCAATTTGGCTGGCAGCATTTGGTTGAACATTCGAAAGAAGTCATCAAGGTCAAGCCACATGTTTTCATCAAATCCAGAGGTGTCCTGACCCGGCTGTCCACGCGTCACTGCATTGACCTTGGTCTTGTGTCGGTCCATGCGATCTGGGTACCTCAGCTCCTTTGCCCCATCCATCTCCCAACATGTTTTGACAATCAATTCATAGGGATGGGCATCAACGACACAATGTTCAACTACTTCTGCATTGATGTTTTCATCCAAGGTGATACGATATTTGTCAAGGTGCCCAAGTGCATGTTTCGGAATGATGGTACCCTTGATCTCGTTCTCCTGCAGGGGCTCACCAGTTGAGGTGGCCTGAGTTGAATCCTCCTGTGTCGCTGGAGCTTTCGCCTTGGGGTCAGGTGGAGCTGCGTGGCTGGCCTTGGCCTTGCCAACCGATGGTCCCTCGTGCTCATCGGGATCCAGAGCGTCCCATGGGTCACCTTCTTCATCATCATCTTCGGCGACACCAGCATCGGTTGGGCGAGCTCTCAACTCCTCTGCTGTGAGGCTTTCTGGGGTCGAGACGCTCGGTGCAGGCTTGTTCACCTTCTCCCGGAGAGAATTGAGAACCTGCACAAACCTGACTGGGAGATGCTCCATCTTCGGTGTGACATCACGCATTGTAGCTTCACCTGCAGGGCGCCTGCGCTTATACAAGGACAGGTTGTACTGAGGGATCAAAATGTCCGTCATGTGCAACATGTGGAGGGTTGCCATGACATATCCGATCATTTCACTTCGGTTGAG